GTATGTATAGTAATGTTATTATTGTTATTATTATAACTATTTTTATTGCAATAAATTTTTTGATGAATGCATTCCAGTGTTTATTGTACTCTAGATAATTTTATATTTTATATAAATTTATATATATATACACTCTCAGACTTTATATCTCTATATATAATAATAAATATATAGTAATAATAAATAAAAATCTATTTTCTCTTTCAATTTATTTCGCATTCACCGAGAGTTTAGACAAAAAACTTTTTGACTTTCGATTAAAATTTGATTATAATTATAACATTTTAGGTTTAAAAATACATTTCACAATCATAATAAATTATATATAACTTGCCATTTCTAAACTTAACATAACTTAACTAAACATAATTTTTGTTTTTGTAGCAACATTTTGATACATAACTTATGTAACATAAGTTATTTACAAGTTAGTTAATTTACATGTGCTTATAAATAATTATATTTAAATATTTAATCAAAACTAGTGTTCATAATATATATATATATATATATATGGTATGCCTACCGGATGTTAATTTATAAATTTTATATAAATATTTATTTTTAATTAAATATTTATATTTATTACGAGATCTAAATATAAAATCATAAATAAATTTATATTAATAATAGCATGCTAAAAAAATTATATTTAAAATTTTTAATTAAAATTAATGTATATGGTTCATTAGGTATGCCTAAATTTGTTTATGCCATTTGCATGTCCATAATTAAATATTTGCATTTATAACAAGATTTAAATATAAAACTCTTAATTTAATTTAATATATTTTTAGGAAATACATTAATTTTGATGGGAAAGTCGTGTTTTTCCTATTATATTAAACGGTAGAAGAAAAGTAAATAAATATTTTTCATAAAAAAATATTTTAAATTTACTTTCTTTTCGTGAATTACTATATTTTCATTCATTCATTATAAATACAACAAAAAGACTTTTATTTCATATTATTTTTACTATTCATACAAAAATAGATGATTACAATTGAGTTGCAATAAAAAAAGTAAAATAAAATACATTTTCTCTGAAAATTTATAAACACATTGTGTTTTATATGGGGACCTAAATATACAATACATTTTCGTATATATATATATAGTAATTATTAATAGCAAAAATTTTCATTTAATCAAATTATATATACAGGGCAAAATTGATGGCAAAACTAATTGACCCTTTATTTTAGCACTTATTTTATTAATAGCGTTTTTTGTGAGCAAAAAATAAGTAAAATATAATTAAATTTATTAACTTTAAAATAATAAAACAATAGATAAATAGGCTTTTATTAGTTTTTGTTATTGTTACGAAAAAATAATACTATTTTCAATGTATTTTCATTCAAATATAACTTAACGTTAATGTATTCTGGTAATTAATTTGCATTTCACATTAATATGCATGTTCAAAACAAAAAGTCAATTGATTTTTTAATGTATAGTAAATTTTTATTAAATTATGTGTGTTTTAAACAAAAGTAGAAAATATTTCAAACAAAATAATATACTTTATAAATAGCTTATAGTGATAGTGTGGGGTTACCAAGTAGACTTAGTTTTATGTATTTAATTACTGTATATTCTTGCTAATTCATTGCATAAAATTAATTTAATTTATTATATATACTTAGATATAAAATGCAGCATGTATATATTTATAATTATAAATTATTTGTTATATAGTAGCATAGCTATTTACGAATACCTGGGTGCCCCCAATACCTAAACTTAGATATCAAACATAATATAAACATATTTACAAAAATGCTAATCAAAAATTACCCGTAAAAGTGTGCGTAAAGTATTATTTTATTTTTTAAAAGTGTTTTAATTATATGCAGAAAAAAATGTTTAACACATCAAACAAAATGCATACAAAAAAAATTAGGAATTCGTTTGTTTTGTATAATATTTTTTTATAACTGATTGAAAAGTTTTTTATTATTTTGTTAGTTTTGATTTGAAATTCATGTGCACTCAAAAAACAATAATAAATTTTTTTATGAATAAGTTTTTTCGGTGAGAGAGAGAGAGAGAGAGAGAGAGAGAGCTATAAATAGGACACAAAACACATACAATTCATACGCGAAGTAAAAGTTATTTTACAATTCAATCGGAAAAACATTTTTTTGTAACCATTTATTTATAAATGTATTTCTTATTTATGATTATTTATGGCTTTTGATCGATAGTAGAGAGAGAGAGAGAGAGAGAGAGCCAATGAATAGATAAGGAGTTTATATTATGTTAGAAAAGTTTGTATTTAAAAATAATTATACAATAAATTGTTTTGTAAAAAAGTGTTTTCAAAAAATGTTATGTAACTTTTTTTCCTATAATAATAAAAATCTCATTCAATGAATGCATTGATGAATAGATTTATGAATTATATGTATTAGAGAGAGAGAGAGAGAGAGAGAGAGAGAGAGAGACTCTAGTATTTTCATTCATAGTCTGTTGACCCCATACTATCTCTACAATAAAACTTCAAAAATTAGGTAAAAGTAATGAATTGTTTTAAATTGAAAAAACATTTTAATTTATGAGGATGCTCTTAACAAATGATAATAAAAATTCACTTGTATTACAAATTATTGTTAAAAATAGGATATTAATACACTATTTGGCAGCTAATTTATTGTAATCAAATACTATCATAAATTATTTTAGCTTAACATAAATGTACAATACATAAATAAATTGTTGAAATTAATTTATTAATTTGTGATGTCGATTGTATAACTGATTTATGATTTACAAATTTAACCAAAATATTATATTAAACTTTATGATGAAATATGTATTAATTTGTATTAAATAGTACCTTACTGTACAATATATTGACATTTTATTCATTACAATATACTGTACCATACAGTACATAAAATTGCATTTAAAAATCACAAATAATATAATTTTTATATCAAGTATATTTATACATTAGGATCATTGAATCTACCTAGGTATGTCTAGAAATTTTAGTTACACTATTATTATGAATGTAACATTAGTATTTACGGGAACGTTAGCTTAAACAATACTATAGAGTAGGTTATACAATATTTTAGGTTAATGGACAGTCGCCTAATCTCTGAAACCATTAACTTTAAGTACGGTTTATATGAGGGAACAGTGTATTAGCCACCGACTGATAGGCCTACAAATGAATTCATAAATCAATTATAATTTAACAACTTATACACTTTACATACCGGTGCTGATACTCATGTGGCACGTACACCCTTAATGAATTAAATGAACAAATATTTATGAATCAGTTGTATATACCGTATATCAGACATAACACTAATAGGAATGCTATTTATATTATGAACACAATGATCACTATAAACAGTCAATTATTATTAAAACTTTTCAAAAATTAAACTTAAAAATTAATTTATAAATATGTTGATTTAAAAAATAAATTGTATGTTTGGGTTCACAGTATCGGTGTTTATTATAATAGCATTTCATATGTCTTGATACTTATGATACCAAAGTAGGCATACCTTTACTCCCTGGTATGCCATGTATCCGATGATAGCCGTTATACCTACCGATAAAATAATGGCTACAATAATGAGTACGTATAGAGTCACAGGGAAATGGATGTCGGGGGTCGGGGGTTTAGTCGAGGTGGTTGTCCGTGGTATAGGTGCTGGTCGACGGAAACATTCACTCAAAAATTGTGTCAAAGTTCTCACAGATTAACACTAAAAAAATTAATTATTAATTTGTGGAGGGTAAAAATTAAAAAAACATTACAATATAAAAATATTATGTTATTAAATATGTGTATTAAAAATAATTACCATATCGTTGAGGGGTCTAAACAGCCGTTGAAAAGAATAATAGGGCTGTCCATTGACCGTAAACAATAGTATGTGTCCCGACATCAGAGTAGGTGTTGCCCAGACATCCACAATACCATCCAGGTTAGTAAATATAGTCAAGTTTATTAATTCATCCACAAACCTGGGTATTTCTGTCATATGCATACACTCTAACCGTCCACTAACATACCTGTCCCGTGGGTTTAGTAGTATATTATAGCACCCAATGTGAGGATCAGTAGTTTTACTCAGGACTACGAGCCACGGGTTATGCATACTATCCGTCGACTTAAAGATTACTGCATTTGCGTCGAATTGGGAGTCGGTATCTCTCGAGTGGACAGTTATCCAGGTGTTGGATATGTCTCCACAATTTATTTCAATACCTTTTATGTATTCATCCTTTGAAAGAATTATAACAATAATTTCCTTAAAGTAATGCAAATGTAATACAATATTCATTGATTACTTGATATCGTATATCACAGTCGTATCGGTAGGTCTGTCCACTCTTACCATAAACACCAAACCGGTTGACAGCGCCGGGATCTATTGGTGACTTAGTCTCGGGATAGACCGTTAAGGCACAGGTATTGTTACCGATATTGCAGTGGATAATAAATTGCCATTTATTTGAATTTTTATACATAATAAAAGCACCGGTAGTTTTGTTATCAATATGTACAGTGTTTTCACTGTATGATAGGTAGTATTTTAAGGCAAAGTACTCTGTGTCACTTTTGATTAAATTACAAAATTCTTGCAAATAAATAGCATTTATATTCAAATACAAAACTATTATAATAGTTATTAAGTTCATATTTATTATAACTAGAAATTAGTTATACTTAATTGATTAATTGCCTGCTAAAATAATCAATGTATAAAATATTTCAATTAATTTTATACATTGATCGCTAAGCTAATAGTTATTTTTGTTTATAATAATCGCTAGATACTTTAATTATGCATAAATTTTGTAATATGAATCTTGGTGGTTCATATAAAATAAATCATTAAACTTTATCATAATGTAAATATTTTAATAAAGTTTAAATGTCTCGCATTACTGTCAATACAAATACTTATCATATAATTACACAAATATTTTAATTTTCACATAATTAATAGTAGTGCACATTTATTCATACAGCGCCGGTAGCTTATAATAACAGTTTTCATATTTATACAGTTAATGATTGCTTAATCATAAATTAAGTGACAATTAATAAAGTTAGGCACCGGTAGTAAAAGTGATACACCTATACAGTGGTAACTTTGAGACCATTGTCCAGAACTCTGTTGATCCTACTGTTGACCGGAATGTTAGCCTTAGTGGACAGTCGGCTAACGTTAGTCACGGACACCTCATCGCAATCAATACCCTTAATGTCCAAAACTGCCGGATTGTATGAGGGAATGGTAGATAAATTTCCATCGCTGACTGACAGGCCTACCAATTGAATTATATAATAATTAGTAATTAATTAGATATACTTTTATACAAATAATTACATATTAATTAATAAACATAATAACGCTGTATAATTAAGGGCATATAATAGGCTATACAATACTGTAATATAAAATTATATTATTAATATTTTATAATTAATTTTAAACACTTTTTGTATGTTAACTAGGTACTATGAGCTTATACAATTTGTATACACTTATTTAAAATTCAATAAAAATTAAGATATTGTTTTTTAAGTACTNTTGTATGTTAACTAGGTACTATGAGCTTATACAATTTGTATACACTTATTTAAAATTCAATAAAAATTAAGATATTGTTTTTTAAGTACTGAATTTTGCCTAAAAATTATTTTTGAAATCATACACCTATTATGTCTATTCAGATACTATTTCAGTATTAATTAACTAGCTAAATTTACCTAATCATTAGTCTATTTACTCTAATAGTCAATTATATTAAGATCCCTAAAAATAATTATAAAAATATTTCAAATAACAAATACATTTCGTTATATTTTCGGACGACTTTGACTGTCTGGTCCTCAATTCAATGATCAGTTTCTGGTAATGTTGGTCACAAACAGGCGACAAATCGGTACTACCGGTGCGTAACACCCTTTTAGGCCTGTTATCCATTAATACATTGGTGTCGACCGATGAGAAACTATTCAATTTAACTGTCTTTTCGTTATCTACTAATTGAATAAAAAGTTTTATTCATTACAAGCCATAAATATTTGTCACACAAAAAATAATTTACATACCGGTGCCGGGGCTCGGGTGACTCGTACTTCCTTAATGAATTAAATGAGCAAATATTTATACGTTAGCTAGGCAAAAATAGTTTACATAACACTCATAGGAATGCCATTAACGTAATGTTTACACTAAACACTCACTTATTATTGAAAAACTTTTAAAACAATTAGACATTGAATTCAAAGTTTATATGATTTCCTGTTTATATACACAAAAAGTTTTGAATATTTTTTTAGGTGCACTATATCTGGTGTTCATTAGTATAGCATTTTTCTATGAGATTAAACAAATAGTAGGCTAACCTTTACGGTGGTGACAGCACTGGTAGGTTATGAATCCGACGATCACCATGATACATACCAATAGGACAATGACTGTACTTATCAATACGTATACTATGGTGGGGTCGGGAACTGGTGCTGGGGTTGGGGTATAGGTTGAATCGCTGGGCACTGGAGGCACCGGTAGGCCATCGAAGCACTTACTCAGAAATGGTGTCAATTTGTCCGCAGATTTACACTAAAATATTTTTTACATTCATTAAGTCAATAGTTTTAAAAGTTATATCAATGACATTTGAATGAACTAGTAAAGTTTTAACATTTTTATCACTTGTATTTTAAAATATACAAATGTTTAAACTTTATATGTTTATAAAAAGTATACTAAATATTTATATACTGTATATTGAGTTCATTTTAGTGGTAATTAAATAATTTTTTAATTTAAAATAAATACCATATCGTTGAGGGCTCTAAACAGGCGCTGAAAGCAGTAATAGGGCTGTCCATTGACCGTAAAAAATAGTATGTGTCCCGACATCATATTAGGTGTTTCCCAGACATCCACAATACCATCCAGGTTAGTAAATATAGTCAAGTTTATTAATTCATTCACAAACTTGGGCACTTCTGTCATATTCTATCACTAGTAGATCCCAGTGCTGTCACCCGGTTTGGTGTTTATGGACACACCTACCGATACGACTGTTACACACGATATCAAGTAATACTGAATTTAATTATAAAATTAATTTTTGTGATACTATTTGCTATTATATTTATGTATCTTAAGAATGGATCCATTGAAACAAACTGTAGGGATATATCCGAGTTTGGCATAACTGGCCACTCAAGTGATACCGGCTCCCAGTTTGACGCAAATGCAGTAATCTTTAAGCCGACGGATACTATGCTTAACCCGTGGCTCGTAATCCTGAGTAAGACTAATGACTTCAACATCGGGTGCTATAATACACTACTGTCCCCGTGGGAACGGTATGTTAGTGGAAGGGTAGAGTGTATGAATATGACAGAAGTGCCCAAGTTTGTGAATGAATTAATAAACTTGACTATATTTACTAACCTGGATGGTATTGTGGATGTCTGGGAAACACCTAATATGATGTCGGGACACATACTATTTTTTACGATCAATGGACAGCCCTATTACTGCTTTCAGCGCCTGTTTAGACCCCTCAACGATATGGTATTTATTTGAAATTGAAAAATTAATTAATTATTACTAAAATGAACTCATTATACAGTATATAAATATTTAGTATACTTTTTATAAACATGTCAAGTTTGAGATTTTGCTATATTTTCAAATACAAGTGATAAAAATGTTAAAACTTTACTAGTTCATTCAAATGACATTGATATAACTTTGAAAACTATTGACTTAATGAATGTTAAAACTATTTTAGTGTAAATCTGCGGACAAATTGACACCATTTCTGAGTGAGTGCTTCGATGGCCTACCGGTGCCTCCAGTGCCCAGCGATTCAACCTATACCCCAACCCCAGCACCAGTTCCCGACCCCACCATATTCGTATTGATAAGTACAGTCATTGTCCTATTGGTATGTATCATGGTGATCGCCGGATTCATAACCTACCAGCGCTGTCAGCACCGTAAAGGTTAGCCTATTATGTGTTTTATCTCATAGAAAAATGCTATACTAATGAACACCAGATATAGTGAACCCAATAAAATATTCAAAACTTTTTTGTGTATATAAACAGGAAATCATATAAACTTTGAATTCAATGTCTAATTGTTTTAAAAGTTTTTCAATAATAAGTGAGTGTTTAGTGTAAACATTACGTTATAATGGCATTCCTATGAGTGTTATGTAAACTATTTTTGCCTAGCTAACGTATAAATATTTGCTCATTTAATTTATTAAGGGAGTACGAGTCACCCGAGCCCCGGCACCGGTATGTAAATTATTTTCTGTGTGACAAATATTTATGGCTTTTAATGAATAAAACTTTTTATTCAATTAATAGATAACGGAAAGACTGTCGAAGGGATTAGTTTCTCGTCGGTCGACACCAATGTATTAATGGATAACAGGCCGAAAAGGGTGTTACGCACCGGTAGTACCGATTTGTCGCCTGTTTGTGACCAACATTACCAGAAACTGATCACTGAATTGATGGCCCGACAGTCAAAGTCGTCGGAAAATATAACGAAATGTATTTGTTATTTGAAATATTTTTATAATTATTTTTAGCTATCTTAATATAATTGACTATTAGAGTAAATAGACTAATGATTAGGTAAATTTAGCTAGTTAATTAATACTGAAATAGTATCTGAATAGACATAATAGGTGTATGATTTCAAAAATAATTTTTAGGCAAAATTCTCATGAATTTTTTGTTATAGAATTAAAAATAACTTAAAATTTATTCACATATGTTTAACATATTCGAGTATCATGGATCAATTGTATGTTTTTCACAAATTTTAATTAATATTTTATAATTATTATACATTTTATATTAAAGTATTGTATAGCCTATTATATGCTCTTAATTATACAGTTTATTATGTTTATTAATTAATATGCAATTTTTGTATAAAAGTATATCTAATTAATTACTAATTATTATATAATTCAATTGGTAGGCTTGTCAGTCAGCGATGGAAATTTATCTACCATTCCCTCATACAATCCGGCAGTTTTGGACATTAAGGGTATTGATTGCGATGAGGTGTCCGAGACTAACGTTAGCCGACTGTCCACTAAGGCTAACATTCCGGTCAACACTAGGATTAACAGAATTCTGGACAATGGTCTCAAAGTTACCACTGTATAGGTGTATCACTTTTACTACCGGCGCCTAACTTTATTAATTGTCATTTAATTTTTTGATTAAGCAATCATTAACTGTATAAATATGAAAACTGTTATTATAAGCTACCGGCGCTGTATGAATAAATTTGCACTACTAGTAATTATGTTAAAATTAAAATATTTGTGTAATTATATGATAAGTATTTGTATTGACAGTAATGCGAGACATTTAAACTATTAAAATATTTACATTATGATAAAGTTTAATAATTTTTTTATATGAACCACCAGGATTCATATTACAAAATCTATGCATAATTATATTATCAAAACATATGAAATGCTATTATAATGAACACCCGATACTGTGAACCCAAACATACAATTTATTTTTTCAAATCAAGATATTTTTAAATTAATTTTTAAGTTTAATTTTTTAAAAGTTTTAATAATAATTGTCTGTTTATAGTGAGCATTGTGTTCATAATATAAATAGCATTCCTATGAGTGTTATGTCTGATATACGGTATATCCGACTGATTCATAAATATTTGTTTCATTTAATTCATTAAGGGTGTACGTGCCACAACAGTATCAGCACCGGTATGTAAACTTTACATTGTAAAGTGTATAAGTTGTTACATTATAATTGGTTTGTGATTTCATTTGTAGGCCTATTAGTCAGTGGCGAATACACTGTTCCCTCATATAAACAGTACTTGAAGTTAATGGTTTCAGAGATTGGGCGACTGCCATTAACATAAAATAGTGTATAACCTACCCTATAGTATTGTATAATCTAACATTCCCGTTCATACTAATGTTTAAATATACTTGATATAATAATTATATTACCTGTGATTTTTAAATTCAATTTTATGTACTGTATAGTACAGTATATTGTAATGAATAAAACATGTTAATATATTGTGTACTAGTAAGGTAATATTTAATACAAATTAATACACATTTCATCATAAAGTTTAATTTAATATTTTGGTTAAATTTATAAATCATAAATCAGTTATACAATCGACATCACAAATTAATAAATTAATTTCAACAATTTATTTATGTATTGTACATTTATGTTAAGCTAAAATAATTTATGATAGTATTTGATTACAATAAATTAG